TAGCATCTGCTGACAAGGACTGTTTCCCAGAGGATTCTGCAGCAGGGAAATGCAGGCTGAACTTCTGCATCATTGTTTCCGCCATTTGCAGCTGAGCTGCTTCAAATTGTTGCTGCTGCTGTTGATGTTGCTGTTGCTGTGGTCTTTGTCCTTTGTTCCTTATCTGTAGGCAGGGGGCCGATAACGTGACCTGACAGTTCGCTAGGTCCGCCTATTGGGAATAATCCCAACACGGCGTGCCTCTGACCAGACACAAATTGGCGCGCGAGACAGGGACCACCCACTCCTGTGTCTACCTCCGCGCCGTCCAACCAATCATCAAAGAGACAAAGAGAGCCTTCGGTGGCCGCTAGACTCATTTGGCATTCCGCCCTCATGCGGGGCGGTCGCGACAACGCCACGCTCTCACAGGACTCAAATTACTTTTGTACTCTGCACTCGGCACCTTTTCAAGTAGATTGTGATCCTGTGGTGTCCAGGGCCTCCAAGCGTATATCACATATGCGAGATGCAGCCTTCCAAACGTATTTAAGCATTCTGAAAAGCAATCTTCAGTTAAAAATGTAAGTGACCGGCGTAGAGCATGCCGTTTTGGCATTGAATTTGCGGCTTTAGCAGCCTTACTAAAACTTATAGAAAGTTTCAGGGTGTCTGCCATCTAAACGCAGGTATTTTTCTTCGTTTATTTTTCTCGGAAACACTGAAGGCTGTTCTGTTTGCGTCCGTTTCCTGCCCAGTATGGACGAGGCCCTGCCTGATGACTGGGCCTCAGGCATCCTTATTCCTGTCTACAAGAAGGGAGATAAAACAAGATGCACGAACTACCGTGGTAAAAGTCTCATTGACTTCGTTGCGAAAATATTCGTTAGTGTTTTCCTCAGGCGATTCCAGTCTGTGCGTGACTCTTCTTGGCCTAACCAAGCCTGACATCCGGACGGATCAAGACTGAGACGGATCCTCGAATTCCGCTACAGCTAACAACAACAACAACATCATTAATCCCTATGGTGGATAATGGCATTAAGTGGTGTACCACCAAGAATAGTCACCAAGATCAAGGTTCTCGTCATTAAATACTTTCAGAACCATTAATTATTCGGTTGGGCGTTGTAAAAGGCTGTGTCCTGTCGCCCATGTTATTTGACTACATCAATCACTGGATTTTCGGGAAGGTCCTACGCGAAGAGGACGGTATTGAGCTTGCACCCGGACGCCGTTTGACTGATCTCAACTATGCCAAACATATCGCTTTACTAGCTTCAAGCTTTTGCGATCTAGAGTCTTTGGTGTCATGGGCGAGTAAGGTAGTTAAATCGGTCGGTGCGTCTATAAACGCTGGGTAAACCAAAGTGTTCTCATGCTGCATCCCGGCCCAAGAGAAGACACCCCTCGATATTAATGGCCATCAACTTGAAGAAGTCGGCAGTTTTAAATACATCGGAGCGAGGCTACTGCCGAAAGGATAGAGTAAGGATGATATTGTCTCCCAAATTGGCGCTGCTTAATGAATTTACTCCAGCCTTCAAAAGTGCCTATGAATCCGACATGATATTATTCTATTACCAGAGAGGTCCACGTGTACCGTGAGGCCAGTTCTTCCATACGGCTGCGAATTCTGAGCTATACGCTTGGAAGATGAACAGAAAATGGAGGTATTTGTTCATTACTGTTTGAGGACCATCCTTCGAGTGAAGTACACCGACTTCCTCGCACTAGATGCGACAACATCGCCAAAATATCCCAGCTCATCCAGGAAAGACGACTGCGGTAGTTTGGACACGTTCTCAGCCGTCAACCTCACGAGCTCAGTGTTGCTGCCCTCGACCAGAAATTGTCGCCTAATTGGAACATCGAAGAATGGACCAGCTGAAAACCTGACTCGACTCAGTCCGTCAGGACGTGGAAGTAGTTTTTGGACCTTCGGTATTCGGTCCCCGGCGCAAGCGAAGTGAATGGATCGAACTGTCCAGGTCTTCTGCCGTGGATATTCACCTGTGGAGAAGTACCGTCCGGGACATAATTGAGGCTGGCTAGATCAACCATGATCGCAACCACAACAAGTCCAAGTGCAACAGAAAGATAGTTAGGTCCAGCACTAAACCATTGTGAACTCCACTCCTTAAGATTACGTGGTTGCCCTCCACGCAATATTTAAAAACGATTGACGAGGGAATTATCGATTCATTTAAGAAGCTTGCCCCTAATTTTTCTGTAAGAAGTGTTGACACCTCGAAAGTTAGCAGCGGTACTATCCCTTGAGTGAGGCGTCCGTAGACTACCTTGGTTGATGCAAAAAGGTCTTCTTGTAGTTTTGATCGTGGTAGCTTTTTCCTTCGTCAACTTTGCGATTTATGAAGCCTTCTCCAGTTCGCCACAGTCGCTGCTGCACCAAATGATTATTTCTGTTGGTTGTACCCTCTGAGTGCTTAAAATAAAAAAAGTTATGCTGTAACACTGAAGGCTGTTCTGTTTGCGTCTGTTTCACAGTTGATATAGGCTTTCTACATTCTCTTTCTGTTCGGCAGCTGGATTTTGGATTCCACTGTCAACAAAACAGTCCTAAAGTTGACCGGCTAGAAGACCAAGGACGCGTACGTGTGACCGCAGCCGGGCTGGACACACGAAAGTTTTTCGTTTTCAACGGAATGATCGAAGCCTGGAAGACTCTGTCCTAGAATGTTGTTATGTTCCCTTCCGTTGAAGCCTTTAAAAGGAAGCTGGATCTGTATAGTAATGCCCACTATAGCATCACCCGACGTCTGTTGTCTTGCCACATGCGAAAGAAAGATCATATTCTTATAGTTTTAATTACTACCATTTAGTAACATTTGTTTATGAAATTCTTTGCTAATTTAATTCATCACCTATGTACTAATTTCCCCTATGTTGACACGCAGCGAACCGTCGAAGATCTTGGCGTGTTCTTCTGTTTTCCTCGTCTTGTCGGCAGATTGGCCAATCAGAAAGTCCATATTTTGATCGCATCTCCTACCGCAAGGACTGTACGTATGTACTACCCAGGGCACGAGAATATTTTAAGTCGGCGTGGAGCAAACAAAGTGGAACAATAATCTGCGCGAACGTTGTCGCCAATAGCGCGCACTATCGGATATAATGAACAAAGACTAATACTACTTGCAAGAACTGTTGATCTATTCGTTTTGCAGCTCGAATAACTGTTAGTACTGGTT